TAAATGTAGTAGTACTCCGTATGTAGATTTTCCATACTGGCGACTAACTAGGATGTGTTTCCATTGAAATGGGGGGGAAACAGGCCTGTTGATTCCTTGGAATAGTTGTTTGCTCTGTTGAATAGGAAAAAGGAAGGAAGAACAAAATTTTCAGAAAAGGGCCAATTACGCCGCCTGAAGAAATGGGCTTTTGTCTGTTGCCTCCTCAATTTCAGGTGAAATCTCGCTACACGCCCTGGGTCCGTTCATCGCCAATGTGCTCCGTGCTCCGTATCAAGACTGTAATGCGATGTGCGAGGTGTCGGGCAACATGGCTGATTCGACTTGAGTTGTCGAGCTGTCAAGGTTGTTACAACACAGCAGACCGGGGGAGAGAAAATTCAGCATGACCACATGACCAGTGGTGAGATTGCCTCATTGACATCCCAGCTCAGGGCGTACAAACTGGGCCACGGCTTGGATCCCCACGTTCCGAGCTTCAGGGTCCCCATGGGCTCGGGAGACTAGGGGATAGCTTTGACCATCAACCTGGCTTCTCGTCTGCGAATGGAAGAGCAGTAAATGGTCCGTGTCTTTTCGGCTAAGTAATTGTCCCATGTCATGGAGCTGCTTGGCTGCTCCGGGTTTCGGTCACTGTTGGGTCTGAATTTCTGCGTTTGCAGGTACTCCGTACTAGAGTCCTTCTCCCTCCCCCCTCCCGGCCCTCGTTGACGTGCTCCGCGGCTGATGGCCCCCCAGTTGTCGAGCCTATACGGGCCTTGTAGGGTTCCTCCAAAACATTCCTAGTGTGCTGCGGAAGAACGGATCCGCGAGCTCTCAAACCGCTTCACCCGCTCATGCTGCTGCCTAACAAGCTACTATCAGTCAGCCACACCGAGCTCTAGGAGCGGCCAGGCCAGGGATCAGAAAAGCTATCCCGAAAACGCTTGCATACTGCACCGGAGCGCAGAGGCTATGCGCTGCGTGTGCTCAGTAAAATGGGAGGCCAACAGGTGTTCGCATGCCGTCACAAGCGGCCAGTAGAGGCGGGCAGACCAGGAGCACTTCTCATGGGAAAACAGAACGTGCATTCCAGACGTAATCGAAGTCGCATACAGCCAATGGATAGGCTCGGAGGGGTTATCAATGCGTTCATGATGATGCCGATGGCTCAATGCATGCTCGTCTTTCTCTTGACAAAGCGGAATTCTTCAAAAAGTACAGAGTACGGACCGGACTGGGCGCCTCTTCCAGTGTTGTCACACGTTGGGGGCAGGAGCCACCTGCATCGCGGCAGGCAAGAAATGGGCAGGCAGCTGGCGTCAGCGTAGACGCCTGCCAGGGCGACGCACTTCTTGCAAGTTTTGATTTTACACTCCATCACATCCGGAGCGAGGGATACCAGCCAGTGTACTCGTACCCGCGTTTGGTTTTCCTGCAACGAGGTGGTCTTGCAACACAGGCTGGTTCCCCACATCCAGCCTACCGTTTAAGACTGTCGATCATATGAAGCGGTAGGGCGTAGCCGTGGCCAAGGAGCTTGGAGGTTTGCTAATTGTCTGCTTTCAGGTTTTCAATGACTACAAGACTACTCCATACAACTCCTCAAAGCCTACAACTTACCTTAGGTAGGTAGCCACTATTCAGCCGGAGATATGTACCTGAAAAGCGCTCCTAGGAAACCTGTCTGATTAGATCATTTGCCTCCAGTCGTCTGACCAGACCTATCTATGTGGACTTCTAGCCCGTAGTCCTAAACCTCGGTCAAGCTCGACGCCATGCCATGTTGCTGATCACTGTACTTTATACCTTGCAAAAATCATGCGTACTTACTGACCTGCTTTATATACAGCTAACAAACTCAATCCCCAGCGTCATGCACCCTTGAGATTCGATCCACTGTGGAGATACCCGGAGAATGTCACGATAGATGACGGAGTGTGGCATGCAACATTCACGATCCACTAGTTGGATGGTCTGCTCAAGCTAGCAGAGATTGGCTCCCGGCAGTTCCATCTCGCACTACTGCACGGCCGGACGATGGCAAGACAAGTTCTGTGTGAAATCAAATGGAAACCAATTCGGTCATGTTCGAATTTCTCGGGTTTATTTACACTGATGTTGGACCGATGGCAGTGGAGTTTTTCGATCTGAGCCTTTATGGTGCGTGTACACCTGGTAGAATTCGGCGGAAACAAGCCGCAACTTTGACTGCTGCGGGTGCTGGAAAGCAGTACGAATCACGAAGCGCGGCGGGTGATAAAAGCTGCCAAGCTGGGGTGGACCACGAGAAAGACGCTTTCGAAAAGTTCGTTACCGGTATTGAACGAATAATTGTCCATCTCAAAAACGGTACTCCGTATGTTCCTGGAGTTCGGCTGTCTTGCCGTACCCACCGTATGCGGGACCGTTTCTGAGCATAAATTCTCAAACAGCCACGGCACGAGTCTCCATTCGGCGACGCCACATCTCTTTGTGCCAAAACCAGGAACAGGGGGTCAGACGCGGGCGTTCTGTCACTTTGTCCTGTTAGACATGCAGGCAGGGCAGGGGATAAAGCTTGGATGGAGACCTGGCGTCCCTCATGAACGGCGGTCCCAAGCTGTTGGAAGCCGCTGGTCTCACTCCCCCAGCACTCTGGCAGCCCTGAGAGCCTCCTTTTAAGGCTGGGATTAGAGTATGGCAACACCTTGATTGTTCCTTTTCTACCAAGACAGGCTCCAAGTTTTCGGTCGTGGAACGAGCTACCACTGGTCTCCCCCTGGATTGGATAAATAATAAGGGTCTTACGATGAAGCTTGTATCTGCTAGGCCCTGTGCTCGACACTACGGTGACCTCCAACTAACTGTCATCATCGCTGCCTGTCTAGGTGTTTAGGGAGTTAATATGAAGATACCAATGGTGTACACACTGTCGACCCTACGATGTCCAGTTTTTCACAATCTCACGGAGTATATTTTGCAAAGAAAGTATGCTCGTCCATGAAAGCAGATCGATTCGAAGCATGCTACTCAATGAGAGCCACTGACTGCATCACAGCTGTTATTGTGATATTACTCGCGCTCATGGATTTTCCTCTTCGTTTCCGTCTTCAAATCCCAGCCAGCCTGGCTTTGGTCATATGACCTTCCTTTGCTCCACCGCTATTTACCACCCTTGCGCATCTTGGTAAGATGTGCGTCGTCGCAAATAGCGACCGAGGTACGGAGTACTCCGTCCTATCGGCTGCGGCTGCCCAAAAAAGTGGCATCTACCCCTTTTCTGTGAATGGAGTCAGGACACTGTTGTCACAATATCATTTCGTCAAAGATGTCCAGGTCATGTGAGACATTCCGCATTCCTCAGCCTCCGCAATAGTCGGAAGCATTGGGATAGGGGCTTGTAGTTTCAGCGTCAATTTCATTCCCTGTCGACTGGCGTACGTAGCCAGTTGTCAAGCCATCTCAGATGGTGCTGCAATAGCTCCGTACAGCCTTTGTCCCATTGCGTCGGAAACAAGATGGATGCCGCCGTGCATACCAAGGCACACCAAGGCACCCGCACAAGCCTGGAGAGCAGCAATGATGTGAGACAAGCGAAGCCCAAGCTTTCGTGCAGGATGAACAATCGCCTCTGCTTGCAGCTTGCAGAGAAGGGAAGGGAGGCTCCACTGACGCAACGCAACGCTCCTCTTCTCCAGCAGAACCCCGGTTTTCGTGACGCGAGAAGCCCAACCGACACCGGTCTGAGATCTAGTTGCCGCCGCATTCGCCACTTCGTTCCCCGGTGCCGCTGCCAGTAATGGCTCTTGCTCAGTGTGATCGCCGTGATGGAGACCTTCGGTGTCGCGTGTACGGAGTAAGGCAGCGCGCTTCTAGGGCTGGCTGGGGAAGATCTGCCAAAACGCCACAAGCCTTCTTCGGACTCTATTGCGGCGCATTCGTCAGCAGAGCGGCAGCTGACCTGGAACGCGAGAGTACGGACTACCACCACCAGGGCCGAGGACGACAACGCCGGAACTGCTCATCTCACGGCCTCCGCCCCAGTCGCCATTTGTTATTAATAGCATTGAGTCCCCCGGAGGCCCCGTATCAATCACCCTTCTCGCTTGACCTTGGTGCCGTTTCGTCGTTCTTTTCAAGCAGCAGGCAGTGACTGACAGGCTTCGTGCAACGTCACACAACACCGCTCCGAAGTCATTGACATCCTTCACAGCCCACAAAAGATAGCATTTCATCCACAGCAGTACGAAGTACACAGCAGAGTTGACTACGGAGTACGGAGTAGACAGCTCAGAACTGACACTTCATCAGCAAGATCGACGGTGCGGCTCAGCCAAGACCAGGACGTGCGCTATCCATTTGTCGAGACCTGGGCAAACGGGCAGATCCCGAAACCCCGTTGTTAGACATCATCCATCAGCCAGGAGCAGCGAGTCGAAATTTTTTTTGCCGGCTTCCAGAAGGAGGGTGAACGCAGTAGGGAAGCCACCTCGAAAAAAGAAAAAAGTTTCGCCTCACAGCCATTGTGTCCCTGCCCGGACATCCCGCCGAAAGAACCCTGACTAGGCCCTGCAGTAGCGCAAGCCAGGTTCCCACGCGCCGCCACGTCCGACCCAGATTGACACTCCACCTTGGCTCCAACGATCCCAGTCATCTCAGTTATCCCAGTCGCCCAGGCCTCAGGTTGCACCGCTCTTCTCCACTGCATTTTTACTTACAGTACCTGGTTGATCTGAACAAGTCAACTGTGCTCAACTGTGCTCAACGGAAGGTCCTCGCAAGTCTAGACCCCACCCAGCCGTTGTCTTGACTCCTAGAGACACTCATTCGTATATCAGGACCTCTTCCTCACCCCGAAAACAAGACTCACCTAGCTTTCTCTTTTACATCCCGTTGTTTAGCTCTCCAGATACCCATCCCGTCCTCCCCTCTGCCCTCGTCTCCAAGGCTGTTGCTGTTTGACAGACTTTTGGACCTTGTCCCTTCACGCAACACCCTCCTCCTAACACTCAGTCTTGTCGCAATCAACATCAATCACAATGTCTTTCGCTGCGCGAAACGCCCTGCGGCTCTCCCGAGCTGCCTCTCCTCGCATTGCCGTCCCTCGACCTACTGCCCGCCTTTTCTCTGCATCCCGCATCAACGCCGTATCCGACACACCTCAGAAGAAGAGCGTTGTCCGCGAGAAGGAAGTACCAGTTACTGTCTACGGTGCTGGTCAGGGACAAGGGGATAAACACACTGTTCACGTTCCTGAGGACGCTGCTCAAGTCCCCTACGACAGCCCTGTTCCTCCTGTCGAGTATGATCTCGTTCAGCCCCTGGGTAAGAAAGTCTACGAGGCCATGCCTCACACCATGCGCAACATGAGTGTCTACGGCAAGGTCATCATCATTACTGGTGGTGCTCGTGGGCTGGGCAACCACATGGCCCGCGCCTGTGCTGAAGCTGGTGCTAAAGCCATTGTCATTTTCGATGCCAACCAGGATCTCGGTGACGAAGCTGCTGCCGAGCTTCATGACAAGTCGGGTCTTCCCGTCTCCTTTTTCAAAGTGGATGTCCGCGATGGGGCCGCCATCAACGCTGCGGTCGAGTCTGTTGTTGAGCTCTATGGTGCTCCCGATGTCCTTGTCAACTCTGCCGGTATCGCCGATTCCAATATCAAGGCCGAGACTTACGACCCTGCCATGTTCCGCCGCCTCATTGATATCAACCTTACTGGCTCCTTCCTCATGTCCCAGGCTGTTGGTCGCGCCATGATGGCCGCTGGTAAGCCTGGTAGCATCGTTCTTGTTGCCTCTATGTCCGGTTCCATTGTCAACTACCCACAAGAGCAGAGCTGCTACAATGCCTCAAAAGCCGGCGTGATCCAGTTCGCCAAGTCGATTGCTGCTGAGTGGGCCAAGTACAAGATTCGTGTCAACTGCATCTCCCCTGGTTACATGGACACTGCCCTGAACCGTGTTCCCGCCCTTGAGGCCCAGAAGAAGATATGGAAGTCCCTGACTCCCCAGGACCGTCTTGGTGGCGTTGACGAGCTCAACGGTCTCTGCGTCTTCCTCGCATCCGACGCTTCTAGCTTCATGACTGGCTCCAACGTTATTATTGATGGTGGCTATTCCTGCTACTAAGGAAGTAGTTGTCATGAGGTGGGCCTCAACCTTCTTTTCTGCACAACATATACATACATTCTACATAATGCTCTGGAGGATCACGCTCTAGAGGACCAAGGTCGGAGAGCACTGCGTCTGACACAGCCAGCTTATAAAGGCGGCGATTTGCGTCAATGTCTCTTAATCATCATACCTCAGAGCCCACTTTATACTGCGCATGAGGAGCATTTCGGGCTGCAAGACAAGCCATGCACACATTTTCTTAAGCATCTTTCACTGCTTGGCGTTTACGGAATCTCATTTGTCAATGTCATTGTCATGTTCACATCTTTTTTTTTTTTTTGCATCGAGGCCGGGCTTTACTGTGATTTGCCAAAAAATGCCCAAAATTCACGGTCATGAGGATAGAGACCGCTTGGGAAACGTGATAGATCTGAAGCGAAAGACTAGACGCTCTTTAGAGTAGTCGAATATTCAAACTTTAATAACTCTACTGGTCAATGCATGAGCTACTGTGAATTGTCTGAGTTCTGGTTCAATAGTGCTGTTTAATACTACACGTGTTTGTATCTTGCGACAAGGGCATTACAAAGTCAGCATGTCTACCTAGGCAGTTGAACTATTGACTTGACGGATCATGAGTAGATCTTGATTGCCCTTCCGTTTAACGCACATGTGTATGTGTGTCTGACGCATGCAAGATTGAAATACAACCCGACTTATTACAAGACACTGCATGCGTGTCATGCATGCCATATCAGCAGTACGCCACGGGAACCAAGTCACACAAGCATGCTACGGTGGATGTGCTTTTTTTCACCTGGGCTCAAAACAGAGCTCACAAGACGGGATATCACAACCATTGGATTGAACGCAAGTATCAAAGTGATCCGAACCTCGTGCCATTGCCCAATTTCCAATGCGCACTCTCTGAATGTCAGCACATGTTCTGTATGCTTCCTACGCCCGCCGAGGCTTAACCTCTCGCTGTACGAAATCATTCCACCATGATACAAGACGCTCATTGAACAAAAGACAAAGTGCCCGAAACCCCTTTCGCCGGGGGCAATCATTCCCTTTGTTCCCAAAATGAACACGCTTCGTAGATGCCCCTCAGCTCTGGTATACATGCCATGGCGAGTTCCTGTTCACACATAAAATCTAGTACTTGTTGATTCGCAGCAGCCCCTTCAATCCTATCCCAAAATAATAATATATGCTGCCCATGCCCATGACCACCCATCCATCCATCCTTCCTCCCGTGTCAATGTTCGCCAACCGAGGCAGAAATAGGAAAGGACCGCGCTCCCAGCGGGGGAGTAAGAAAATAGTCGTCGTAAAGTGCTAGTAGTAATAGTAGAAAACCGGGAGTAAAAATGGCAGGAACCCGCTGGCGCGTCTTCGGCTAGAAGACGGGTATTCCAAAACGCTGATGACTAATTCTTCTGTCACCAGAGAGAACGCATAAGAGCCCAAAAGCAGATCAGGTGAGATTAGAAGACAAAAAAAAAATGCCAAGGCCATCGAATGCGCGCAGGTCTATGAAGAGGGGGAGAGGCGAAAAAGAGAAGGCGCGTGCAGGGCTCTCTATTCGTATCGAAAAGAGTTGATACACTGTTGTAAAGTTGTATTCTCGAGGGGTAATACCATTCGGGCGGTGGCCATTCAAAACATCGCCTTAAACGCGTGGTTCGCTAGTCGTGTGTTATGGGAAACTTTTTCTCCTATACATAAGTAAGACGCCATTGGGGTTTGCGCCGTACATTGCAAAACTACCCAATCCTTTCTTACCAGGTCGGTATTCGCCACCAGACGTTGGTTTTCTGGCCGGCCGACGATAGTTCATTCATCATTCCACCATCATATGTATCCTGGGTATTCTCGGCAATTGTGAAAACCAAATAACGTCGTCTTCCGCGTTTTGACCTGGGGTGGAATCAAACCGCTGTTTCGTTTATGTAAAGGACATCAAAACAAGAAAAAAAGCAATGCTCGCTATGTGATATCGAAAAGCCATGCACCCTACTCAGACGCATAACCGATTTATTGCTTTCGTGCCTTCTCCTGAGCTCTTTGTTCTCTGGCGGCTCGGACGAGAGGAGCTAGTTGAGCTAGATCCACGCACTGCTTCATGAATTCATGCTAGAGAAGAAAGTCAGTTTGTTGTTTGCAAGCCCGCTGTTACTAGTCATTGGCCAAAGGAAACCACCTACCCTTAATAGATCATGGGCGCTCGCTCTCTTCTCAGGGTCTACCTTCAGAGCAAAGCAGAGGAAGTCCCTGAATACGGGTGAGAGCTCGTTCTCATTCTTGATCTGGGGTGTGCCATTGGTAGCAATCAGCCACAGGGCTCGAAGTGGCGATTCGGTAAGATATGGAGGCTCTCCTTCGATCATTTCAATGGCCATGATCCCGAGGGACCAAATGTCTACTTTGCGACCGTACTCTTTTCTAGTAACAACTTCCGGAGCCATCCAGTATGGTGTGCCAACCATTGTCGTTCGTTTGTTCTGCGCCTCATTGATTGTGGCACAAAAACCAAAGTCAGCTATCAAGATGGGTCAGATACCATAGTCCAGTTTCACCCGACGCCAAGGGTCAAAGCGCTTGTCACTTACTGAGCTTGATGCTGCCTTCGTTAGATAGTAGAATGTTGTCCGACTTGATATCACGATGAATGACGCCCTTGGAATGCAAATGTTGAAGGCCTTTGAGGGTCTCCCGGCATACAGATGCAATTTGTCCTTCAGTCATGATATTGAAGGTGACAACATCTGTCAGGCTGCCTCCTTCCATAAACTCCATGACGACCCATAGTTCACCTGCACAGAGGTAACTATCAATAAAGTTGACAATATTGGGATGTGAGCTGTCCTTCATGACCAGAATTTCGTTAATAATCAGGTCTTTCTTCGGTTGCTGCTCCAGATTCATCTGCTTGATAGCGACAAGTCGATTGGTGCCCCTCTCGAAGCCAGTAAAGACACCGCCAGACGCACCCTGGCCAATCTTTTGGAACCCACGGAAGACTTCCCGTGGATCCCCCTCGCTGCAGATTCGTTTGAGCGATGTAACCACATCAATGCCGTTACTTTGGCGGGCTCTCTGTCTCGGTCTCGCGCCGGGCACCGCACCTGGGCCTGCCTGCTGGCGTGAAGCATTTGAGTGTCCATTAGCATCGACAGCTCGCGCGTAGGCGGCCGTCTGATGGGGAGCAGGTACTGACGCCTGGGGCTGCGGTTGTCTCTTGCTAGGAGCCCGACCAACATGTCCTGACATTGCCGCTTGCGCTTGTGCCAAGGCCTGCTCATGTTGTTGTTGTACAAATTGCTGCTGCTGATACGCAGCAACTTGAGCAGATGATGGAGTCAGCGGGCTGTATGGCGATTGACCATTGGCACGGGAGTTGGATCTCGACCTATGCTCCTCGGGCAGCATGGGGGAGCTGTCCTTTGACTGTGGCGAGTAATCGTCGGGTTGCTGGGACATACCAATACCAGAGTCCTTGGTGGGATACGCACTTGACGGTCCCGACCGGTTACTGATGCTGACGGGCGGCTTGGGAGCGGGCCGATTTGGCATCATGTCTCTTCCGTGACTTCTCGACGGTGGCACCGGCGGAGGAGCTCGAGGATTCTCAAAACTTCCTGTTTGTGGGATGCGAGTTAGTTTATGCCAAATAGCAACCCAATTGCGCAGAGAGGCCGCTTACCCATATAATTAGTAGGGTACATGTTTGGAGAGGTGGGTGTGTTGTATGAACGGTTCTCTGCCGGTCCAGCATGGTGAAACTTCTCCAAAATCTGATCCTCGGGCGGGCGCTCGGTCGTCTCCTTGTAAAATTGTAAAATATCCACCATGGTCTGGGGGTTCTCCCGTCTCTCCTTCTCGGGAATACCACTTTCGTTTATCAAGCGTTGCCATTCCTTTGGCAGACCCTGGTTGGTGAGTTAGCATGGATGCACACTTGCCCGACGAAGCGTTGAGAAACAAGAGAGGGGGGGCCGAGGGCAGTCTAACAGTGAATTGTCCAGTGGCACTGTCGTATCCGACATGAGTAACATGAACTGGATTCTCCGGGGCTGAAATGGTGGGCTTCTTCTGTGACCCGACTAGACTGGTGACGAAGCCCGAGAAGCCCGACTTCTTGCGAATCATGGGTGGCTTTGAGTCCTTTCCCTCATCGGAATACCGCTTCGGCGCCGCTGCCGCGCCGTCGGGTGCTTTGCCGCCCTGGATTTTCTCCGTGATCGCGGGCTCCATGTTGCTGAAGCTCTGTGAGGCTCGGAGCGCGGGGTTCACGTTCCGCGTGCCAGTAATGGGCTTCGCGAGTGCGGGGGATGCTGGTGGGCGCTGGACAGACTCTCGCGGAGCCGTGTACTTTACCGACTCGATGCGGCTCAGGATGGCAGCGCCGTCAAAAGGCGCGCCAAGGAGGTCGTCGGAGGGTTCTTTGCTGTGTCGGCGAGCGAGCGAGTCGGACAGGCGATTTGGACGATGCGCGAGGGCTGGGTAGGGAGAGGCGGCAGGATTGCTGGGGCTGCTGAGACTGCTGGTGATGAGGCCGGGGCCGCTGGGCGGGTTGGAGGTGGCAAGAAAGTCCCCTTGGGCGAGGGAAGGGGAGGCATTCGACGGCCACTGCGAGGCGGTCGGATGTCTTGGCGACGAGCTGCTCGAGGTGTTTGCAATGGAGGATCGGACGGCAGGGGCGCTGGGTGCTCGTCGAAGGCTCTGGGAGCTGCGTCTGCTGCCGAGCGAGTGAGAGTCGTCGAGGCCCGAGGAGGAGCGAGTGTATGTGTGTGAGGGGGGTTTCTTGACCAGCTTGCGACGTTGAGAATGGCCGTTGAAGGACGATGCCGGGCCGTCCATGATCCTGTCCGCCCTTACCTAAAAGGTCTCAGAGCAGGCAGCTGGCAGATGTAGGCAAGCACTTTGCAGAGGACCGAGCTGGGGCAGACGGGCGTGTGCGAGTAAGTAGACAAAAGGAAAAAGCGGTCCTGGCGGGCGGGCTGACGGCG